TCTTGAGACGATTCTTTTCGTCGGGTGCTTATCTTTGTTTGCTAATGTCATCGTCATTGTGTCGCATGATGTGACGGTCCTCTTTTGTACAGACTGACGCAATTATTTTGATCAGACGCTGCAACTAAATCAAGAAAATTTTAGAGTTAAATAGCAAAGAGTGTTAAAATTTTACTTGTATAATTGGTGGGAAAGCTATAGAAACTGCAGAGGAGAGTTCAAATCTGGGGCATAATTAAGACTGGAATTTGGAGCAAAGTAAATAGCAATGGCACCACCGCGGAGAGTGTCTCGTTACGTCAAAGCTTCTGACAGAGTAGGTAACACTGCCGTTTGCACTAGTTTGTTCGGTTATAATTTAACAACGAAGCGGAAACCGAACATTAGACAACGCATTAAGCAGCACATAACAGAAATCATGATACTACTCCGGGGTTAGGAACGTAAATTTATGGATTTTTCTGTGATGAAACAGTGTGCGAATTTAGTACACGTTTTGAAGGGATAAACCAGCTGTCATGCCGTTTAGAAACTGATGATAATGCAAGCATGATGAAATTTATGACTGATATATGGAAGAACGTTATTTAGTTTTGCAGTGAACGAATTTGGATTGACATAAGAAATGGATAAACTTGCAAGTACTTTAGAGCTGTTGCATTACTGTAAGAAATCGATCGATCAGAAAAATTGCATTCTGTCTGTCTCGATCTGCAGAAAATTCCTGGTTTGATCGTTCAGGTAAGGATAGAGTTTCAACTTTTACAACTATAATCTACAGTGTATTGAACATTTCACCATTTTTAGCGCAGCAGATGTTTGTTTTAATCTGTATTTAAACTCAAAACTGGTTTTGATTATGTTCGCTATGTGCATCGTTTACTCCATAACTTGTAACTGCAGATTTGTTATTTCGGCATTCTCATAATATTTAAACGATAAGTTTAGACGAAATCATAATTGTAATTTTTTGCCGTAAAGTACTGAGTCATATCGGTATTTAAATAAAGACATTTCCTTTTACGTACACACATTATTATTTTCTGGCTGTACATTTTCTGTTTTTCGGTGGCTTTTCTGTTTGCTGATGCGTTGTGAACCTTCTGAACGAATTTGGCCCTTGAACTGTGCTGTCAGGTGAAGGCATGTTCGCTACATAGCGACTGCTACATTATTTTCAGCGGGTTTTCCCGTAGTACACAATGCTTTTATATTAGTGTAAAACAAAAGTAACTTCTTTGCAATACGTAAACTGTGCAGAATCATTTATTGTTTGCTTTCAGCCCCGGTTTTTCTGAGCAAATGATTGATTTTCTTTAAAAACGTCTGTACAATCTAACGTTATGTTAATTTGATGCTGCATAGTGAATTTCGATGCCTTTTCATTAAAGAGGCAGTTTTGTGGGGGTTATAAGAATATCATCTTTTGCAATGTACCCTTGTTACGCTCTGTGAATGTCGACACAACCGTCAAAGCGTTACAGTGCAACCAATGTCATCACCTGGCATCCGAATTATGCATTAGCGATCACTCGAATTGACAGCCAAAAATCACGACGAATCACTCCGCCAAACCACAGTACATGAAAGTGCAGGAAGTATTGGAAATTAGTTAAAAAGGGTAGCTTTGAAACTCATCTTTCGTATTTTCTTTTAGTGGAAACGTTGATGATGAGCTCTCGTTAGAACTTTAATGAATTTCAAATTTCTAACAGTGGATAATGACTCAGGAGGAGGAGACTGTTCTAACGAACGATTAATGTTTCTGCTCATTGTAACCTTAAAGCCGAATTAGCTAATAGCAGTCGTTAAGAAAAGCGTGTGTAACTTAGCTTTAAAGGATGTATGAACTTGCCCAGGTATATCAGTTCATGTTCGAACAGGATTTTATTTGACCCAAGGGTAATGAGCTTTTGCTTCCATATACAACATACACCATAATCGGTGGAACCACTTTCTCTCAAAGATTTCCTTACGTTGCTAGAGGAGGCCATCAGGGCGATTACGCTGTGCGAATCCGGGGAAGCAAATCTAGATATTCGAAAATATGTCATCCCAGAGTGATCTGTTGGTAGACCCGGGCGATCATTTGAATCAAACAGATATCCATTCAACCAGACGAGTTTTGAACTCTACCCTGACGAACCAGCCCGTAGTTCATCTGATGACGACCTTCTAGCGGTAACGCAAGCAGTGGAATATTCCGTTGCACATTTACTCGGCTAGTCTGTGGATAAACAAAACTGTCGTTGGTTTGCTCATCCTAAAGAAATAAAACGGGCAGTACCGATGACCATTTTGACGTGTAAACTTTTATGCAGAGCTGGGCGCAATGATCTTCATATGTCAAGGACCTTTCGGCCATCGCTTCGTTGAAAGGTCATTCACGTGTAAATGCATGATCTGTGCACCGATGCTGCGATGATGGTCGCACAGGTATTTCGCCCAATGTATGATAGGAAATGTGCGGCGGTTTTCCATTAAAATTCTGCATACATTATAGCACTTTATTGAAGTTATATAGGCGAGCTTCCATTGGTTCTCGAAATTTATGTTTAAACGAAGATAAAATTTTAAAATAAAAAACAGTAAAAATTTTGATTTATTAAATTAATTTCAGTGAAGTTGTATCGTTGACACCTACATTTCTTAATCATCAAATTGAATTTATATTGAGATCTGATTTGTCAGTATGAAATAATGAATGGTAGATGGGCCACAGCTCAAGATCGATGCAGCTGTGGGGAAAGAATAATGACATGATAC